TTCTGGTTTAATTGCGATTTCTCGTAAGTTATACAAACCCTGGCAGACCAGTCACTTTCGGGGGAACGGGGGAGTAAATCCGTTGGTTTGAACTGGGAGGCTGATTTTTTTTTTCGGGAGTTGAGAGAAATGAATGGGCGGGAGCTTCCAGGGGAGATGGGTAAATGGAGGGGTTTCTTGGGTCTTGAATAGTTTGTTTCTGGGCGGAGGAGAGGAATTATATAATTATATAATTATATGATTACTGGGGGGCTAGGCCCCTTGCCATATGATTCACATATGATGCCTATACGACCCTCTGACCCTTTATTTGACCCTCGTGACCCTCATTCTGACCCTCATGATAACCCTCGTGACCCTTAACCTGATCCTTGTCACATTTATTTAGACCCTTAATTTAGCCCTTGTTACCCTTATTTGAGCCCTTGATCAGGCCCATGTGACGTTTAATCTTATGACCCTTAATCGAACTTATATAACCCTCAACCTGACCCTTGTGACTCTTATTTGGACCCTTATTTTGATCCTTTGACCCTTAATCTGACCCTTGTGACACTTATTTAGACCCTTAATCTCACCCTTGTGACCTTCAATCCTGTGACCCTTAATCTGACTCATGTAACCCTTAATCTGACCCTTGCGACTATTATTTGGACCCTTGCGACCCTTAATCTGACACTTGTCACCCTTTAGACCCTTAATCTGACCCTTGTGACCTGTAATCTTCAGACCCTTAATCTGATCCTTGTGACACTCAGTTAGACCCTTAATTTGGCCCTGGTTACCCTTATTGGAGCCCTTAATCTGACCCTTATGACCTTTAATCTTGTGACACTTAATCTGACCCTTACAACCCTTAACCTGACCCTTGCGACCCTTAATTTCGGAGTCTTAATTTTGAGTCTGAGAATTTCCCCCACAATGAAAACACCCCATCGCATACCACACGATACCCCAGTGCCCAATTAATCCCAATAATCCACGCAAATTAATCATTTATAAATAATGCAAATTAATTATTTATCAACGTTACTGGAGCGCGTCCGGTCATGTGATGTTTGTGTGCCATCCTGTCAGAGTGGAAGGCAAACACTCGCCCTAAAAAACAGTTTAAACCACCACTGGATCCTCAATTATCCCGTCATGAAGCCCACTCAGTGCAGTCATAATGTCAATTTACATAATGCAATCGATTTGATAAAACCGAGTGGAACCCTCTACCTGGCTCGCATACACTTTGCCTTGGTGTTCACCGCAAAACAACTATTGACAGGTGAATAATTCTCATTCCATCCGCGAAAAAGCCCCCCCCCCCTCCCCCCCTCCACGTCCACTTGATCCCGTGCATAAACTGACAGTCGGAATTAATCCACTTTTTGCCACCTATGGACCATCACTCCTCCCCGTGATTAATGATCGTGTTATTTCCACTGCGATTGTCCGGATTATTCAACGCGCGAGTAGAAATGAACGTTTATTGTCAGACATACCTGGTGAATTGAATTTTTTGGGGACGGGGAGGGGTTTTTGCGTCAATCAAATTGATCGGATTTTGTTTGTTATGATTGCAGTGGAGAAAAAATTGAGAATTTGATTGGCCTCGGCTCACGAGCGCGATTTAAAGGCGATGGAGTGTTCAGGGGGTTGGAAATTCCTTTTGTGAAGGGGGTTATTTTGAGGTGCACATAGTACAGTTATTTTTTATAATAAATTAGTAATATAGTCATAGTAATAACCGAATGGTTATTTTGCACATCGTTTCCTTCTATCATGGATAATTCATTGTTTATTTCATTTTGTTAAATTGAATAAGATTTCTTTTCAACTAATTTTGTCAGATTCTCAACGCAGTTGAATGTTATCATCATTATTATTCTTATTATCCCTTTCTTCTGTACAACCGATTGTCTTTTTTACGGTTCTATCTCTCCCCTCAGCCCTTCGATAAAATGTTAATAGAAAAATTTTATTTACACATACGTGAATGAATTTGAAATATCACATTTGAAGAAACCATCAGAAAGCTCACTTTCAGGGAAATTTATGAAAAATTCGAAATTTTCAACAATCATCATAAAAATCAAATCAACCAATATAGCTATCGTAATAATCGTAATTAATGACGTAATTAATGACGTAATTAATGACGATCGATGGGGCTTAATATTAATAATACCTGCATGTGAAAAAAAATCAATTCCACTCAGTCATCAGCCAACAATTGAAGGAAATCTTGAAGTGGATTATTCCACGCGCAAGTAGAAAGGAACTTTTTTTGTCAGACACGTCTAGTTAAATGATTTTTTGGCGAAGGGGCGGGGGATTTTTGCGTCAATCAAATTGATCGGATTTTGTTTGTTATGAATTGCAGTGGAGAAAAAATTGGAGATTTGATTGGTCCCGGTTCACGGGCGCGATTTAAAGGTGATGGAGTGTTTATGTGTTTGGAAAATTCTTTTGCGGAGGCGGCAATACTGAGGGGGGAGTGCGCGAGCGAGATAAGTCGATTTCGATTTGGAGTGAGTTTTTGATAAATAGGGGGAGGTATTGGAGGGAAAAGTTGGGAGAGGCAATCGTGGAGCGAAATGTTTTACAATAATGAATACATTTTTGGGGGAGAATCTGTTGCCATTACTTTTTTTTATATCAATTATTTATATTCATTGTTTCTCTGTATCGCAAAATTTCCCATTTTTCATTTTGAAATGAAATATTAATTAATTTTGTCAAGAATTTACTGATTTTTTTAAATTATTAATTAAATTGGTCAATTTATAACGATTTTATAAGTTTGTCAACTCGAGCCGTGAATTTCATGTCGCACTGTGACAGTTGAATTTGATTTTAATATTGTTAGTAGTCGTGAACTCGAAACCAATTCAAATTGAGTTAAATTCGAACTGAATTAGAGGCGCCAAAATACAGAGTCTTGACGAAATAGAATTTCTAAGATGAAAGAGAAAATTCATTAGTTCCTGAAGAATTTTTAAAAAATCCGGAAAAATTCTAGGCCCATCATGAAAATTATCGTCAGTGTCAATCTTCTGTAATGAATAATTCATGTTTTTGAAAGGTCTTGTAAATAAATTGACCGTCTAATCGTCGTAACTATTAAATTAAAATTTAACACTGATGTTTATGGCTGTTATGAAAAACAAGTTCACGAGTTCGTTAAGATAATCAGGCTGTACTGAAGCTAATTGGTGATAAAAGTAATCTACGAACAGAGTAAACAAGAATTAGTGTTCGAATATTTTGTAAACGTTAAAGATATATTCCAAAAATGAGAGTTAACTAAATAAAAACGTCAATTCTGTAAAAAAAACTGGAGTTTTCAGAAGAAAGAAGCGGGAGATATTTTCAAAAAAGTCAAGCCACGATTGAGAGGAATTTTAGACTCAACTTTAGAACAAAAAAAAATCCCAAATAAGATGTCACTTAAACAAGAAAAAAAATTAATTGACCTTAAAATTAAAAATTAGCTTCTCTTCGAAAAATGTAATTTTTCTAAAAAAAATCCGTTATTTTTTCTCTAATTTCTTCCCCAATTCATAGGAGTCCCCTAAATTCTCCGTGATTTCCGCACCAATTTTCATAAAAAATTCTCCCCACTTAAGTGCTTTCCTAAAGACCTCGCTAACCCCCAGAAACACCATTAACCCCTGTTTTTCCCCCACCCCGATGAATCGACAGAGAAAAAAGGTTTCTGCTTCCCGTGGTACTTAAGTCAAGCCCCTTTGATTCCGGAATTCAGTACCTCAGTACTTCCCAGAATAAAAACTGTGAAGTTCTTAAAATTAACATTTCTGTCTCCTGAAATCATCTTCATTAATTATGGTGAGTGACATTACATTGCCCCCAACGGTTCTTATTTTAAGAACCCAAGGTTTTTGATTCCAGCCCCACGAAACGAAAAAATTTTCGATTTTTTTTTCGTAAATTACGTTTAAGAGTTCGTTTTTAATTAATTACGCTCATAATCGCCGTAAATTACAATTACATAAACTTATCTTAGGGTTTCGTGTTCGTAAATTACAATTATTTTTCCCTATTTGACATTTACTAATCCGTAATTAACAACAAAGGAAAAAAAAGTTATTTCATGCGTAAAATACGATGTTTTTTTCTCTTAAATTACGCACAAGTAAATTGTAAACTCCATTTCTGTTGCGATCGTAATTTACGATTTTTTTAACACGAATTACGCACTGAGAAGAAAAATTACTTTTACCAAAGAATCATTGAATTGAACACCCTCCCTTATTTTTCAATTTTTTCTAATTTAATATTTTCTCCCCTAAATTTATTGTAAACAATTCTAACTATTAATAATTCTCAATGGAGTTAATCCCATGCAGCACAATCATCCCACAATCCACCATAATTTCAAAATTTCGAGATAGACTTGGACCGTAAAAACGCCTTTGTGAACCCTAAACTCCGATTTTCCCGGCGGAAAACATTACCTTGAACGCCACGGAGAGAAATATTCAATAAAAATTACGTATATTTCCGTAACTCCGACGCGAAATGTGGTTGTAGGAAATTTTACGGAACTTTCACAGAATTTTTACCGTCACTTAAATGTTCTGAATCGATTCCGTGAGCGATTCAACCAGTGAGCGAATAGTGAGTTCCGTAATTTTTGCCGAACAGTTCTCTCCCCGCGGAAAAATTCCGTGACATTTCCCTAAAATTTCCCACAGCCCCATTTCGTTCCGGAATTCCGCCCAAAAACGTAATTTTCCCTGAACCTTTCTCTCCGCGCCTTGAAAAAAATGACGTTGATAACATCGGCGTTATCAAACCGTAATCGCCGTTCATTTTCCCTGTCTGATTATTCAAAGACCCCGAGTCTGATTATTCCATTACCCCACAGCCCTCGATTCCAGTCCAACAGTCCGGGAATCCCCTTCGTTGCGCTGAAAACGAGAAACTTTTTCCCCCCGCAAAATAATCGCGTGTTGGAGAAAATTCCCCAGCACTTCGTAATTACTCACTCGGTTCATCCACGTCACTGGCGACGAGTTCACCTCCAACGAGCGCTATAACGCTCATCACGAGTAACGTCTTCATTCTAAACCACCCCTTAGCCCCAGACACGTCTCGCCGCACTCTCTCACCCGTCACATCAAAAAACTTCACCCAAAAAACTGCCTAAACCCCCGCAATCCCCCGAACAACTTCAAGCAGTTTAATAAACCATTTTCGTGTCTCTCGGGGCGATCGATTCCCCGCGACGCATCGAGTGATTTAGAGTCGATATGCAGCTGTATCCGAGTGGAATAATACTGTCAGACCACTCGCGGCACTTCCCCCGGAACTCCAGAATTATTTTTCACCCTCCACTTCCCTCACTCCACTCACAATCGATCCAATTTTCCCCACAACTTTGCGATTTTCTATCGTCTCCAATTTTTCATTCCCTCCTCTATCTTTCTCAGTTACTTTCACGTATCAAATCGACTACTCTACACGTCGACAGGGTATGCGCCTACCGCTCCGACCCGAGTCACGCGATAAACGGCTGACCCGACGGAAGGATCACCCCCAACTGACCCCTCAATTCACCATTCCCCACATCCCCCCGCCCCCTCGCCGAATTCCTCCCTCACTTATTCATAAAACTGACTCGAGTCCGATATTGTCAATCAAATTGAATCTTCCACCTCGAAACTCACTCCCCCAAGACTCCGTGAATCCCTCCATTTCCCACCGCATGAGCAAAATCACTTCATCCACTCGGCAAAAATGAAAAAATCTCAAAACTCTGAGCGAATCCGAATTAAAATCGCCATCGCGAGTCCAGACGTCCCTCGATCAATTGATTGTCTTCGGGCTGTCACCAATCACTCCGCCATTTTCATGAGAACATCATTTTTTTATCTCTCTTCGGGAAACAATTGCGTCTCAGTCCGAACCTGTCCGAACGAACGAACTCCGAATTAATTCAGAACTGAGAATTCCGTCGGCGGGGAGGAAGAGCGCGGTTACTGCTGCGTTGCGGCAGGCCTACTGACAGTCAAAACGACTGGTATATGCCTAGTTTCTGATCGGTAGCGCCACGGTCGTGCGCCGTCGCACGCCATCCCCCTGTGGAGAAGGGGGGAGGGGGATGGTGTGTTCTACCCCTCTTTCACCTTAGTTCTGTCCATTTCTCCACCCTTCACCGCGTGTAACCCCTTTTCACTCTTCTTACCCCTGCGCTCCTCCCCCTCCCCCCCCCTCCCCCGGCGGCAGAATGTACGGACGGTGGGACACCGAGAGATAAGGAGGATGAAAAAATGAAGGAAAAACAGTCACCGGCCGAATTACCCAGTGCAAGCCTCACACACACTTTTCGGTCTTCTGGCGGCGCCCCCCGGTCCTTTCCACATCTACAAGGGTAAACTGGATGACCCGAATTTCCGATTCTACTGGGCTTTGTTCCCCTCCGGTGTAGAATTCTCTGATTGGCTCGGGAGGAACAAATTACGATCATTTTTTTCGGACTTTACGGTTACTCATCCATAATTAACGACACTGAGAAAACTAGTCTTTTTTTTTTTTTTTTTATCGTTATTTTAACGAAAAGTATTTTTCCTTTGCATCAAAAACCCCTCCAAACACCTCCCCCCTCCCAAAAACAATTGAAATTCCGAGAGGAAGGATAAACCCAGTCAACAGTCATTAATCATCCATAATTAACGACACTGCGAAAATTAGTCTTTTTTTTTTTTTTTAATCGTTATTTTAACGAAAAGTATTTTTCCTTTGCGTCAAAAACCCCTCCAAACACCTCCCCCCCTCCCAAAAACAATTGAAATTCCCAGAGGAAGGATAAACCCAGTCAACAGTCATTAATCATCCATAATTAACGACACTGCGAAAA